TGAGTTTGAATCAACTTGATGGCAGTGGGTTTGGTTTTGATTGGTTTCAATGCACATAAGAAGTTTATTTTTAGAAGGTGCCAGTCATCTAGTTTCTCTTCTGCTGTTTGTGTATTTTGGGTTATGCTTCATAGTCTATTTATACCATAAATCAGAGTCCATAAGATTGCCCCTTTTTTATCTTTGATGAACTTTATAGTTTTGGGTTTTATGTTTAGGTCTTTGATCATTCTTGAGTTTGTTTTAGTGTATGGTGTGAGGTGTGATCTTGTTTTATTTTTCTGCAAAAGGACAGCCAGTTTTGCCAGCACTGTTTGTTGAAGAGACTATCTCTTCCACATTGAATGGATTTTGGCACTTTGTCAAATATTAGCTGTCCATATGTATCTTTTTCTGGACTTTCAATTCTGTTTCATAGTCTTTGTGTCTATTGTTGTACCAATACTAGGCTGTTTTGACTACCATGACTGTAGATTATAGTAGGTTTTGAGATCTGGGAGTATGAGACCTCCTACTTTATTTTTCTTCTTCAGTAGTGCTTTCTTTATCCATGCTGTCTTTCCTTTATATATAAAATTAGTGATTGATTTGTCCATGTCCTTAAAGAATGTCGATGGAATTTACATTGGGATTGCATTGAATCTAAGATTGCTTTGGGTGTTATTGACATTTTCACAATGTTCAGTCTTCCTATCCAAGAGCATGGGATATACTTCCATTTATAGAGGTCTTTTGGTTTCTTATAGTAGTGCTTTGTAGTTTTCTTTGTATAGGTCTTTTCTGTCCCTGGTAAGATTTATAAGTATTTTATCTTCTTGGTTCGTTGTTATTGTTGTTGTTATGTGCCGTCGAGTCAGCCCCGACTCATAGCAACCCCTCCTTGGGTTTCTGAGGCAGTATCACTATAGGAGTAGATTGCCCAACCTTCCTTCTGAGGAGTGACTGGTAGGTTTCAACCGCCAGCTTTTGGTTAGCAGTTGTGCTTTAGGCAATATGCTACTAGAGCTCCCTAGTAGCTATTTTAAAGATATTATTTTCTTTATTTCCTTTTCAGAGATCTATCTGTTGGTGTAGAGCTGGTAGCATAGTGCCTAAGGCACTTGACTGCTAACCAGAAGGCTGGCAGTTCAAACCCACCAGCCACTCCTTGGAAGGAAGGTGGGACAATCTACCTCCGTAGTGATACTGTCTTGGAAACCCAAGGAGGGGTAGCTATGAGTTGGGTCCAACTCGACGGCATATGACAACAACAACAACAGAGAAATGCAAATGTTTTTTTGTGTGTTTGTCTTCTACCTGCCACTTTGCTGAAACTTTCAATTAGTTCTAGGAGTATACTTGCTGAATCTCTTGGGTATTTTAAATATAGGATCCTGTCATCTGCAGAAAGAGATAGTTTTACTTCTTCTTTGCCAATTTGGATGCCTTTTACTTCTCTTTCTTGCCTTATTGCCCAGGCTAGGACTTCCAATACATTGCTGAGTAGAATTGGTGACTGGGCTATCCTTGTCTAGTTCTTATTTGCAAGGGGAATCTTTGAGTCTTTTTCCATTGAAAATAATGTTCACTGTTGGTTTTGAGCATTTGCTTTTATTATGTTGAGGCATTGCCCTTCTGTTTCTATTTTGCTGAGAATTTTTATCAGGAATGGGTGTTATATTTTATCAAATGCCTCTTCTACATCGATTGATATAATCATTTTGTTCTTTGCCTCTGTTTTATTTATGTGGTGGATTACATTGATTGATTTTCTAATATTGAACCATTCTTGCATACCTGATATGAATCCTGCTTGGCCATGGTGTGTTGTTTGTTTGTTTGTTTCTTTTCTTTTTTTAATATAGTGTTGGATTCTATTGGTGAGGATTTTGTTGAATATTTTTGCATCTATATTTATGAAGGATGCTGGTCTGTAGTTTTCCTTTTTTGTTCTGTCTCTGCCTAGTTTTGGTATCAGGGTATCCTTTGTTTGGAGAATGAATTTGGGAGGATTCCATCCTTTTCTGTGTTCTGGAACAGCTTGAGTAGGATAGGTGTTATCTTCTCTGAACATTTGATAGAATTCTCCAGTGAAGCCATCTGGGCCAGCACTTTTTTTGTATGGGGAGTATTTTTATTACCTGCTCAATTTCTTCCTTGGTTATGGGTCTGTTCAAATCTTCTACCTTAGTCAGTGTTTCTAGGAATTTGTCCATTTCTTCTAGGTTTTCAAAATTTTTGGACTACAGTTCTTTGTAATATTCTGTTATTATTCTTATTTTGGTTGCTTCTTTTGTGATTTTGCCCATTCCATTTGTTACTCACCTCAGTCTTTTAGCTTGTCATATCATCCTCTATTCATGTGCACAATTATTGACACCTTGGAAGGATGTAAAGTAGACAGGACTTTAAGGTGAATAATAACACCAGGTTTTACTCCTTAGCACAACAAACAGTATGAGCATTTACCCAGGAATAAAACTCAGAAGGCTGGAAGGGATAGTAAAGAAAGATGAATGGAAACAGTAAATACAGGGAGGAAGTACGAAGAGTGCTGTAACATCGTTGGAATTGCAATTAGTGTCACAAAACAAAATGTGTATGAATTTTTGAATGGAAAACTAATTTGTTCCAGAAACTTTCACTCAAACCACAGTGAAAAGCTCTCTATATATACCACAGCAAGAAAAAAGTACCAAAGTGTTAAGCTTTCTGGGAATTGAGTCATCCAAAAATAGTTGAAGCGATGGTAATATATTACCTGCATAATTTTTTTAAAATGGCATAACTAAAATAGCTTATGAACAGTTTTTTGAACAGGCCTGACTTAGTGCAAGGAAGGAAAAGTGTAATCTTCCCACCCTCCTCCTTCAAGTTCAGGCATTTTCCTTTTGGTCCTTGCTGATCGGATTAAATGTGAGAGCGCACATAGCTTTTCTAGTCTCTCCATTTGTAAAATCAAGGCTCAGTTAATTACTTAAGAAACTAGGATCAACGTATGTAAACATTTAACCTTGCTTTTACTCTTCTTGATTTTAGACCTGCTTGGGTGCAGAGGATTGTTATTGAAGCTATCTCTTATATCCACTTTCTCTCTTATTTGAAACCAACTGTTCTGGGCCCTTCTGATACTGAGTGAGCACAGGGAGGGAAGTGAGGCTAACATCTGGGATGGAGTTGCCTGACTGGGACAGTAATAATTTGATATTGGGTCCCTCAGCATGACAAAGACAAATACTGGCCCATTTTTCCATGGAGGGCCTTTGTGGCTGTGGTGAATCTCCTTGAAGGTCATAGTGCCTCCATCTGGTCATTAGTAGCTCCAGCCCAAACCCTGACTTGTTGGTCAACCATCTCTTGACTTAAACACTTTTAAAATGACCCTAACACTTTTAAAAGGACCCTTTTAAAATGGCCATAGGGCATTTTTGCCTTATGGTTTCCTCTCATTCCAACTGTCTCTTTCTTTGTTTTTCTGTCTCATTTTAGACACTTTAAGCACTAGTGAAATATTAATCTTTATCTGAGCCCACTTCTCTAAGTGGTTCCCTTGAGCCACTTCTCACTTAGTCTGAGGTGATGAGAGAAGAACCATAGCTCTTCTAACATCTTTCTGGAGAGAGGTCCTCACTGCTGCCCACTACAAACAACCCTCTCCCCTCCTTTTTGTATAGCCTGAGTGATGAACTAATGCTAACAAAACCATTCCTTGATATCTTAGCACCTTGTTTTAGTTTTTGCAAGTATTTCATATCATTGTTATTTTAGGCCTTTGGGGCCTCAAGAAAACCTGGGAAAGACTATGAATATACCAAATAGTATAATAAAATAATTGAAAAATACATAGAGCCCAATTTCAATTCAACTTTCTAGTTAGTAGATCTCTTCATAAAAGAATAAGCTGTTTTAGAAAGTTTTGTGTTTTATATCATTGGACACCATTCAAGAATATTTCAATGATAATATGTTAATTAACGGCCTGTTTTATGGCCATGTGACTTGTGCAGTTTCAAAGGATCCTGAGCAATGGGATGGGTGGCAACTTGTTTAATGTCTCATGTCACCTTTTGAAATTGCTATTAATTTTTGAACAAGAGACCCAGAATTTCATTTTGCCATGGTCCCCATAAATTATTTTTGAATTACAACTGTTCTCATGTGTAAGTCTGGAGACTAGGATCTTGATTGAAAGAACCTTTCCTTTTCTTTTCTTTCTTTCTTTCTTTATTGTGATTTGGGTGAAAGTTTACAGAGAAAATTCACTTTCCATACAGCAGTTCATGTACGCTTTGTCTCATAACATTGACTACAATTTACCACAATACAACAGTTCCCCTCCCACTTCCTCCCCATAGTTATCTCTTCCCTGTGTCCTTCCTTTCATGCACTCCTGCCCCTGAGCTATGTCCCTGTGCATACACAGCTCTTTGATTCTCTCATGATTGTTCTCTCCAAGGAGTGTATCTACCTAATGTAAATGTTCTCCTCATATGCCTGTCTTTTGTTTGTCTGGAAGCCACAGGTGTGGGAAGAACCTTTCCTTTACTTATGATTATGAAATTCTAAATGTGGTCCACTCTATGAAATTTAACTAAAGTTTTTATTAAAACAAAAAGCAATGCTAATCTCAATCATACAGTGGGTGTGTTTTATAAACTTTTTAGTGTACTTTATAGTAAGTAAATATAATGTAATAAAAAATCAAGTTATTTTCAATTCATTCCATTAGGTTTAATTAAGGAATTTTATTTTTTAATAGTAATTTTTCACCTATATTATATAATCAAAATATGTTATATTTAATACTCATGGATTATTAGGAGTATTTGGTTTACTTCTTAAACATATACCACAATTATGGGAGCACAAATACATACAGAAAAATAATCTTTATATAATGATTCCACGTTCTGCTAATATAAATGTCTTTATTTTTAGAGAAATTCTAAGTGATGTCTTTTTTCCCAATTGATACAATTCTGTATAATTGACTTTCATTTTTATTCATTGTTTCTTGGAAGGGAAACATCTGGGAACAGATTTTACGAATACCCTTCATCTTGGAAATAATTAATGCGGTTCCCTTCATTATCTCAGTAAGTCTTAAAATAATCTTAAAAGAAAATAATTTTTTTATTAGCTCTAAGAAAATTCTTTATGTCTAAGTACAATTACCTACCAGCCACTCCTCAGAAGGAAGGTTGGGCAATCTACTTCCACAGTGATACTGTCTCGGCAACCCAAGGAGGGGTCGTTATGAGTCGGGTCTGACTCGACGGCACATAACAACAACAACAACAATAAGTACTATTACATAAGTGGTAGCTAAGGTAAATGGATTTAAACTTTGATTAGAATCATGATACTAATAAATAAGAAAATAGGTTGTATAACTGGATTGTCTTATTAACTGAGAACTAATGAAGCAATAGCAAAATGAAATGCTTTCTAGAAATATATGTTCTAGAACTGCTACTTGAACAATCGTTAAGTATTGGTCACACAGATTTGGAAGTAGTTACTCCATTTCTTGTTTATACGGTAGAAATACTTCTTGTAAAAAGGAGAAATTCAGTAGAATGAGTGTTCTGTCTACTGAAATTTTCTCATACTGAAGATACATTTATCTCTAATTTAGCCACAAAATTCACTAAAGCCAATTTTCTCTTCAGTAGAATGTTGCCAATAATCAGGTGACTAGCAATGTCTTCTGTGTCAAAGTTCTGTATAAGACATATGTCACCTGTTCAATTTTGTTCCATAAATATATAATCAACACTTTTCTATTTGTTAATTAAGTTTTAATCTCAATTTGATAGAGTTTTAATAATATCCATTTTGAGGATTATAATTTCAAAACTTTGTGTGTTTTAATAGGATTATGAAAATAGGTAGATGCCTGACATTGTTGCTCATTTCTGACCATTATTTTAATTTGAGTAATTTACTTAAAGGAGCAACTGGAATTAGATTTAATGATGAGGCTGACTAAATAAAATTCCAGCTGAACATGGTTCCTCAATGTTCCTTCAAGTAGTTGAATCAAAAATAGTAAAAGTAGTCAGCATAAAGGGCAGAATCTTCTCTTCTCTTTCTTACTTTTCACTTCCATTTGCAGAAAAGAGAGAGTCTGTATCTATGATATGTGGTTACACTAAAAGCTTTATGATAGATTTAGCATAATTACATATAGCTGCCGTCTAGTAAGGAGCTCTGGTAGCGTAGTGCCTAAGCACTAAACTGCTAACCAGAGGGCTGGCAGTTCAAACCTACCAGTCACTCCTCTGAAGGAAGGTTGGGCAGTCTACTTCTGTAGTGATATTGCCTCAGAAACCCAAGGAGGGGTCGCTATGAATCGGATCTGACTCAACAGCACATAACAACAACAGCCATCTAGTAAGAGCTTATTTTCTTTATGGTTTTACAATAATTACCCTATGAAATTTTTCTAAGACTTAGAAAATGAATGAAAATATATACATGTTTTAATTGTCTTTAATGTTATTTTTTATTTTATATATTTATTTAATCTGCTAGATATAATCTCTTGCTTTGAGAGAAGAGTTTTAGTTTTGATTTGTTTTTCAGATATTCTGGCCTTCCTTAAGGAATCTGTTTGTACCAGTCTTTCTAAATTGTTGGCTTGCCAAACATGCCTTGGAAAATATGATTGTAAGTATTAAAGCAAAATACTAAAAAAATATATTTTTTAAAAAAACAAAAAAGCTTTATTTCCCTTTTAGTGTTCATATCAAACAAAGAGAGAAGATAGATGATTTGGAGTTTTAGTCTTGTACTTTCACTTCCTGCTTTCTCCTCTAAAGTATAAATTTATCCTACTGGAATTTGCCAAAACCAAAGCAAAACCACTATCATCTAGTTGATACCGACTCAGACCCCTATTGTGTTTCCAAGGCTGTAAATCTTTATAGAGTAGATTTCCTCATCTTCTTCCCACAGAGCTATAGGTGGGTTTGAACCACTGACCTGGTTAGCAGCCAAAATGCCCTACCTACTATGCAAGGGATTTATTTAGTTACATTTAAATTTCTAAATTTTCATTTTTAAACTTAACTTGCTATTTTAGTAAATAATTACTTTCATTTAAATGCCTATAGAACTTTATTTTGGTAAAATGCTGTCAAATATAAGTTAACATAAAATGAATCCTGAGCTAACTATTGGTTTATATCCCAAAGAGAATGAAAACTTGTAAAATACCCACATTGCCAAGTCCCTACCTTTGTACGGTTCTGTGATGTATTAAACAAAAATGGTTCAGACTTTCTAAATGTCAGCAATGCAAAACCTAATTGCTTTTTGAATGAGTCCAACTAAGTAGCCAATCTTCTGAATACAAATAAACCAATTCCTGCTATCTGTTGATTATAATGGGATCTCTGGTTTTAAGAATTCAAGATGTCAAATTGCCCTTAACTATACTTTCATATTCATGTGAATCTGTAGGGTTATGTGTGGCCCAGGGTTGGAGCTAGAAAGTCATCTTGTAAAGCCACCTTTTTTTGGATTTGGTTGGAGTGAAAGGGAGTGGTGTAGTAGGAGGGAGAAAAGGAACAGAGGGTAGAGTAAGAGATGCTAAACTGAGAGCTGCCCTGCACTTGCATTTTGCCCAAGGTGGACCCTGTTTGGAAGGACTGGTTTATATCTATGACCAAAATATATTTACCATCAGCTTTAATACTTATAAGCTGTCTCTAAGACATCAGCTGTTCATTCATTCAGTCCACATGTGTTAATATGGGTCCATTGCTTTAACTCTAATAAGCAGACAATTTAACTTCTCTGCTCATTTCTTCATCTACAGAAGAAATAAGAATACATACATTACAGGCTTGCTTGAGAATTAAATGAAATTACACACACACGTGTGATCTATATCTGTATAATATTGTATCTGGAATAAAGATAGTAAGAATTATTAATTTATGCTCCCCCCTTTTTTTGCTTAGTGTGTACTAATGAAGGCCTCAAATCACATTTTTATTTTAAACAAATAATTTGTGTAATAATTAGCCATATTCTACTTTTAAGTTTTTTCAATGTAAACTTATTTTAGAAGGTTTTATTTTTAAAAAATCATAAAAGATTACTATGTAGAGCTACTAAAAACTAAGTCTAGCTACTTAGAAAAACAAAGGTTGTTGGGAGGTTAGCTTCTTTTTCTTCTAAATAGCTTTTTAATAGACATTATAACTCAATGTTTGGCCAAATGTGTATTTGGATAACGTTTGAGTAGGAAGGTTGGGCAATCTACTTCCTTAGTGATACTGCCTCGGAAACCCAAGGAGGGTTCGCTATGAGTCTGATCCGACTCGATGGCAGTAAGTTTTTTATTTAAATAGCAGATGAATATTGCTATATTAAGTAACCACTGGAGATCAAGAAAATACATGGCCAAAGGATGGAAGTTTACTGCCTGTGGAAGCCTTTGCAGAAACACTGGACTATTGTTTACTGAAAACAAATGTTGTTTCACTAAATATTGATTGTTGAAATTGCTAATGAAAAGAATTACACTGGGGTGGAAGAAAATTCTGCCTGTTACCATATTATTAGCTTTTAGAAAAAATAACCAAGATAGGGACTATTGTTCAATCATTGAGATGACAGGTGATGTTTTACAATACACAGGATTCATTTTCTATTTTATTTCTTTATTTTGCTTCTCTTCCTCCTACTGATCACTAAACATTTATCTGTTTTCTGCATGATATTATTTCTTCCAGAAAAAAGTAAAGAATGAGAGGCAAAACTCTAATCAGTCAACTTAATTCTTTGTTTTTATCACAGTTCTGGTTAAATGTATGGTGAAGGAAGATAAAATAATGGCTCATTGAGCTTTTATATTGGTGAAGTTATTTATCTTGTGCTGTACTGATTTTAAAACCATTAAATACTTATTATAGAAAATTGGAAATGGACAGAAAAGTATAAAGCCAAAAATTATAAACATAAGTCTACAGAAGCTAAGCACTGGTCAAATATTTATATACTTGCAATATTTTCTATACGTAAATATACATACATTTCAGATATGGACTTCCAACAATTGATTAATTAAATGCCTTCCAAAAATTAATTACAAATTACACGAGTAGTATCATAACTTAGTGCTCTACAAACTAAACTCTACCAATAATTATTATTTTTTATTGTCAATCAGTTGGAAATGTGCAAAATATATCTTGAATTCACATTTATATTAGTATTGAGGAAATGAAACATTTAAAATTTTTTTTCATTGGCTTCTCAATTTTTAAATATCTATTTGAAATTTTTATTTGAAATTGTTTGCCATTATTTCATTTTAGAGTTCACAAAATGAGATTTGATATTAGTTTCACCCAGTTATTACTCCCTTCATCTTTGAATATATTATTTTCTGAGAATTTTCCATAAGAGATTATGTTAACCATGTAGAGTTTGGGGGAATTTAATGCAACGTCTTTCCAAATGTTTACAAGGCAAGTAAACTGAAATCTACTACTTCTGTGGTCTTACCGTATTACCTTTGGAATATGAATTGTTGTTGTTATGTGCCATCGAGTTGGACCCAACTCATAGCTACCCCTCTTTGGGTTTCTGAGGTGGTATCACTATGGAAGTAGATTGCCCAACCTTCCTTCCATTGGGATATGGTTGTTGTTTTTTTGTTGTTATGTGCCGTTGAGTCGGACCCAACTCATAGTGACCCCTCCTTGGGTTTCCGAGGCAGTATCACTATGGAAGTAGTTTGCCCCATCTTCCTTCCGAGGAGTGGCTGGTGGGTTTGAACCACCATCCCTGTGGTTTTTTGTAATTCTAAGCCAGAATATAAATGTCCTGCTATATTAGTTTAAAATATGTGTATTGGCTAAGAGTTGGAAAGTTAAAATGTAATGTATCTTAAATTCATGGATATTTAATATTTATCTAAATTTACAATATACTTTTCTCTGTATTGTTTTAGAATGACCTACACAGAGCCATTCAGCGTACACAGTCTGCAATGTTTAATCAAGTTTTGATTTTAATATCTACATTACTATGTCTTATCTTCACCTGGTAAGATTGTACATATCAGCATTTTTACTGTTTTCTTTAATTATAGTTTCTAAAGAAAGAAATACTATAAACAATTTTAATTTATAGCTAGCTAAAATGAAATAGAATAATACTCACCAGAAAACATAACCTGTAACCCATAGAAATAAAAGTAATTTCCTTCTTCTCATTTATACAAAAAAACAGGAAAGCACATATATTGTTTTGTATTGATATTTATTGCAGCTCTGACATTTCCCCCAAATACTATAAACAACAAAATCACAAGCATGTGTATTGCATGTCATAGTTGTCAAAACAAGAATTTCTCCATCATACATGAAGGTGCCCTTGAGTCTCTACAATCTTCAGAGCAAAACCATTTTTGAAGAAAACTGTCATTGCCCGTCACTGTCTCTGCCGCTGCCTCATCTACATGATGTTCAGTGTGCGATCAGGCCGAAAGCAGGGGCAGATCCCTTGACAGTGCAAGGCAAGGCCTGGCACTTTGCTTTACTCTAGAGAACAGGTATTTCCTCTTTTGGAAAATCACACTTTGGCAATTATAGAGTAATCCAACGTGAAATAGTGCACTGCATATATAAATTCATGCAGATCCTTCAATAGAGAAACAAAAATATGAAAATCAGAAAATGAGGTAGAATAATTTGTCTGTTTTGCAGGATTCTTAGATATAATTGTGCTCTGACCTGCATCTGACCCTGTTGTGGAAGAGAGAAAGCTAGTTAGGAAGTACTAAAAAGAAAACTACACACATCTAGTACCATGCAGTGAGATATAAATACATAAATATGTATTTAGTATATGTACGTGAAGACATAGATATGTAGGCATAACAACTACTTTGTATGATATCTTTGAATATGAAATGTCCCTCTAAAATGGACACCATGTTGTATAATTTTTCAGATTTTTTTGAACTCTTCAGGAACTCTTTTTATGGTTTACACAGTATGTGATTACATAAATATGAAATACTAAAGGTCATGACTTCCCTTAATTCTTAATAAAATGTCATTATTTGATTAATTTGGGAGTTTTTTTTATTTTAAGGAAAAGTATATAAATTTTTTTACATATACATGCACATGCTAGCTTTTCAACGGCTGAATGGAAAATTACAAAAATGAAATTAGTGATTTCTAATATAATGTGCAATTCTGTTAAAGGATATTTGAAAAAGAAGTAATTGAAATGCTGATGCCAAAAGAAAGACTTTTTTTTTTTTTTTTTTGCATGATGATACTTAAGTACTTTTTCTCAGGAAGCATCCTCATCACAATTCATTTTCATCTTCAGAGTGATCTCTACTTGCTGCTGTTTTCTGCCTAGTATTTCTACTTTGGGGGGGATATTTTTTTATTTTCAGTGGTAAATTTTGTAACCTCCTTATACCAAGGGATAAAACAGTGCTAGATATAAAACAGTGCTCATGAGGAACAACAACAAATACAAGGTTTTTGTGATCTATGTGAAATTTCCATTAAGATATTCATCATTTTAATCATGTATGTTTCATTTTTTGTTTTATTTTCAATTATAGTTGCTCTTATTGTATATGTGTGTGTTTCACTTTAGACAATTGAGTAGTAGTTTTGACGTATGTTATCTAATGTTTTCAGCTGTGATCACTGTGTAGATATGAGTTTGCCTCTTAATTTGCAAGTATTATATACAGTTATGATTAGCTACAGAAATGTTACTGCTTTCATCACATATTCATAAGTATATTTTTACCTTATTTTTTAAATTTTAATAATCTAGAATGAGTAAACTAAAAATTGGATTTTTTAAAATTTTCTTCTCTATCATTGCAAGCAAAATGACTTCATAAATACTGATAATCACAATAAAATAGAATAAGTCTTATTTGAAATCATAGGGAAACGAGTAGTTATCAACCAAGAAAACTATTTATTACTTAATACATGGATGTTTTTTCTTCTTTTTCATAAAAGCCTAGATAATATGCTCAGAAGTGGTATACCAACTTGATAATATTTTGTTTTTCTGCCATTCTCAAAATGGGGTTCCCATCTCATGGTTCAATATTGTTGTGCTACACCTACTATTGTTGGAAGGAAGGTTGGGCAATCTACTTCCATAGTGATACTGCTTCTGAAACCCAGGGAGGGGTTGCTATGAGTCAAGTCCGACTGGGTGGCACATAACAACAACAACAACAGCACTTTTACTATTGTATTCTAACATCTAAAAAGCATGATAAAATGGAGATATTATGTCCTGCATTTTAAAGTACAACCCAGAAGGTGCATGTGCAATTTAGACTCATGTTCATTGGCTAGAATTTGTGGGTTTGTTGTTGTTTATTCATACATAGATTCAAGGGGCCCTGAAAAAATATCGCTTAACTGTTTAGCTGGTATAAACAGTGTAAGCAGTTGATGATAGTATTACCATGGAAAAGAGAAAAACTAGATTATGAGGAAAAATAAGAAATCTCAGCTACTGATCAATTGCAAAAGTCCATCAGTACATTGTTACTGTTGTTAGGGTCTATCGAGTTGGCTCTGTTGTACTCAGCGACCCTGTGTACAACAGAACAAAACACTGTGTGGTTGTGTGCCATCCTCACAATCCTTGTTATACTTGAGCCCATCATAGCATCCACTGTGTCACTCCATCTTCTTGAGGGTTTTCCCTTTTTGCACTGACCCTCTACTTTACCAAGCATGATATCCTTCTGGCAACATGACCAAAGTAGGTGAGATGAATGATATCCTTCTGGCAACATGACCAAAGTAGGTGAGATGAATCCTGGCCATTCTCTCTGACAAGGAGCATACTGGCTGTATTTCTTCCAGGACAGATTTGTTCTTTCTGACAGTACATGATGTTTTCAATATTTTTTACCAACACCACAATTCAAAGACATCAACTCTTCTTAGGTCTTCCTCATTCATTGTCTGCCTTTCACATGCGTATGAGGCAATTGAAATAACATTGGCTTGGGTTAGGCATGCCTTTTTCTTCAAAGTGACATCTTTGATCTTCAACACTTTAGGCCAGGTCTTTTCAGCTGATTTTCCCAGTGCAATATGATACCTGATTTCTTGTCTGCTGCTTCCATGGGTGTTTGTTGATTGTGGATCCAAGTAAAATGAAATTTTTGACAACTTTAAACTTTTCTCCATTTATTGTGATGTTGCTTACAAGTCCAACTGTGAGGATTTTAGTTTTCTTTATGTTGAGGTGTAATCCATACTGCAGACTGTAGTCTTTAGTCTTCATCAGTAAGTGCTTCAAGTTATCTTCACTTTAAGCAAGCATGGTTGTGTCATCTACATACCACAAGTTGTGAGTGAGTCTTCCTCCTATCCTGATGCTGTGTTCTTCTTCATATAGCCCAGCTTCTTGGATTATTTGCTCAGCATACAGATTGAATACATATGGTGAAAGGATATAACCCTGACACACACCCTTCCTGATTTTAAGCCATGCAATATCTCCTTATTCTATCTGACATCAGCAATGATTTTCCTCATTCCACATCCTCTTCTGCATCCAGCTTGGATTTCTGGAATCCCCTGTCAATATATTGCTTCAACCATTTTTTAATTATTTTCAGCAAAATTTTACTTACATGTGATATTAATGGGAGCTCTGGTGGTGTAGTGCCTAAAACATTTGTCTGCTAAACAAAAAGGTGGCAGTTCAAACCTACCAGCCACTCCTCAGAAAGAAGACTGGGCAATCTACTTCTGTAGAGATACCGCTTACCCAAGGACACCCAAGGAGGGGTCACTATGAGTCAGAATCGACTCGATGGCAGTGAGTTTTGGTTTTGGTTTGTGATATTAATGATATTTTGGATAATTTGCACATTCTTTTGCATCACCTTTCTTTGGAATGGGCATAGATATGGATAACATCCAGTCTGTTAGCCAGGTAGCTGTCTTCCAAATTACTTGGCAAGTAAGTGCCTTCAGCACTGCATCTGTCTGTTGAAACATCTCAATGGGTATTCCATCAATTCCTGGAGCCTTGTGTTTCACCAGTTCCTTCAATGCACCTTTGACTTTTTCCTTCAATATTATTGTGTCTTGATCATATGCCACCTCCTGAAATAGATGAACATTGATCAGTTCTTTTTTTTTCTTTTTTCACAGTGACTATGTGTATTCTTTTTTCACAGTCACTATGTGTATTCTTTCCATTTTCTTTTGATGTGTCCTGCATCACTTGGTATTTAGCTTACAGAATCCTTCAATATGGCAACTTGATACCTGAATTTTTTCTTCAGTTCTTTCATCTTAAGAAATACCAACCGTGTTCTTCTCTTTTTGTTTTCTAACTCTGGGTCTTTGCACATTTCATTATAATGATTTATTTTTCTTCTTGAATTTCTCTTTGAAATCTTCTGTTCAGCTCTTTAATCTTGTCATTTCTTCCATTTGCTTTAGCTACTCTTTATTCAAGATAAAGTTTCAGAATCTTTTCTGACATCCATTTTGGTCTTTTCTTCCTTTCCTCTCTTTTTAATGAGCTTTCCTTCCTCATGTATGGTGCTCTGATCTCATCTCACCAGTCATCTGGTTTTTGGTCATTGGTGTTCAATGCATCAAATCTATTCTCCAGGCAGTCTCTAAATTGAGATGGGATCTAATCAAGGTCATATTTTGTTTCTCCTGGGCTTGTTTTAATTGTCTTCAGCTTCAACCTGAACTTGCATATGAGCAGTTGATGATCTGTTTCACAGTCAGCTCCTAGCTTTGTTTTGGCTGAAGATATTGAGCTTCTCCATCACCTCTTTCCACAGGTATAGTCCATTTTATTCCTATGTATTCCATCTGGTGAGATCCATGTGTACAATCACCCTTTATATGATCGAAAAGAGTTATTTGCAATTAATAAGTCATTGGTCTTGTGCAATTCTATCATGTGATCTCCAGCATCATTTGTACCCCCAAGGCCATATCTTCCAACTACTGCTGATTGTTCTTTTGTTTCCAACTTTCATATTTCAATCATCAGTAATA